ATTGCAATATAGAATTTGTTGTATCAACAATGAGTAAAAGGAATCTATAACACTAAAAGATCGAACTTGAATGAACAAGCTCATGTTTTTTTTTGTACATAAAAGGCAAAAACTTTACTAAATGAAAGAGCCAAAGAATATGATAATCTCTCTGAGTACTGATTATAGAAGATTGATGCAAATCTCATTTAGTTTCATGCGGATATAACCAATCCGATTATCTATAGAGAATAATTGCAGAAATACAAACTTTGGCATCGAAATTGGAAAAGTAGGGGAGAAATTTGAGAAGGAACCTGAGAACCGAGAAAGACGATTCTCCGACGGAGCAGCATGTTTGTGGTATCGAGTTCCTCGAAACTGGGTAGGCGCGAAGGCGATTGAGCAACAGATTCAACGGAGAAACTAGACACATCCCAGTTACTAGATAAGGTTTGTCTGGGTCCAGACAAGCTCATCGAAGACCTAACGCGAAATGGATTCGCTTTTTTAGGGATTCTCTGATTTCGACTTGGGAAAGCGACTTGTTTCCCTGAATTACATAGGAAAGCAGGGCTTGAGGTTGAAGACGATGCCAGACGCAAACTCATCTCCATCGTTTTTTCAAGTTTTCTTTTCGTTAGTCTAAAGAGTAGAGAGAGGAGGATGATGCAAGTGATGATGGGGCTGTTTCTGGGTTAAAACGGTGCCGTATAAAACTGACGTGTATGATTCTTCTACTCTCTTATTGAATATAAGTTTCAATCCTAAAACAATCAAACTCATTAGACTAAATTTCAAACAATTTTGGAGGCTTGGCTATTTTGGATTTGCCCTTTCCCCACTTGTTACATTGGCTATCTAGATTTTGGTACGTTTGCTTTTGATTTTTCAAATGCTTGGTTAGTGCATATTTGAAACTTCTGAAAACAAAACACTAATAAATGACCAAACCCATCAAGTGTTGCAGAGACCAAAAGTTTCTGAAAAGAAATTTAGAGGTTATTAGGTGCTCCTCAAAACCACATCAACAGTCTTGGCAAAAATAAAAGAGAGAGTCTGGCCATTATGTTATGTAAATCCAACAGCAACAGTTGCTCTCACTTCCTTAGAAAAGCAACAGTTGCCACACGAGATCCTACTGACCCACCAAACATGAAGGTCGGATATGTCCTAACATGGCTCAGATACTCAAACGGAGGAGCATGATCAATATTTCTGTTTGCAGCTTCAGAGTCTGAAGAAGAAACATTGGTCGCGTAATCTCCATCTCTAGATAAGTTAGATTTTCTGATGTTGAAGTTCTCCACTTCTTCCACGAGTTCGTCCTTTGTGTGGTTACACGATGTGATAACCTTTAACAGATGCAGAAACAACAAAAAATTGAGGTAGTTTGCCGAGTGGATCAGGAATTTCATAGCAGTTTAATCGTAAATATTTGGATTAACCGCTTATAACTAAATATTCTCAGGAGTCAAGAAGCTTTTACCAATATCCCACCAGGAGCAACCAGCTTGGACACTGAATCCCAATACATGACTCTGTAACAGACAATAGGAAGTGTCATTGGTAACCAAATCTAACTGACTGCAAACAGAAAGTAAGTGCGGTAAAACCCGGTAAAGGATAATAATCTAAGGAGGTACCTTTTGACAGGGCCATCAGGATGCAAACCAATCGCATCTAAAGTTCCTTTGTCCATTACCAGCTTGAACTGCCGGTCCAATTTTGTCTCAAGGATATCATCAACCTAAGAGCGCAAACCATTAGTTCCACAAAAGAGAGCTCGTTACAACTATTTTTCTCAAATCTTTTTAATGCCTTGTGATGCTCATAAAGAAGATTTTTAGTTCTGTATTACTATATGCTAAGTGGATGCAACCAGTATTAAGGCTAGCTACAATTGTCAAGAAAGATGAAATATACAGAGGAAAACTGTGTTATAATGCTAATAATAGCATTTGGACTTTTTTTATGGCGGAAGAACCCTTGCCATGGGTTGATCAAACCTTTTTCGGGATTAAAGCTAAAAAAAGTCGTACCATGAAACAGATATTTGGAAACCCATCACGTTCTGAGAGATGTTGAGCGAGTTCTACCGCCCCTTCACTGTAATCAGTCCCAGTTAAATCAGAGAACCTGAGCCATAAAAGTGCAAGGGTGCGGCGATTAATAAGTCAAGAAAAGAGTAGTGTCTAAACATAGATTTTGGTGGGACATGCGGCGGCATGTAAACATTCTGTTCTAGTAAAAATTATCAATGATAAAGCCTAACTGCACTATCACATTAGTTTGGGATTCCATAACATGAACGAAACAAATGTCTCAATTATACATACATAGTAACATTACATTTTCACTGCATAGGGGGACTTAAGCCTCTCAGAAGCTGACTTCTGATCTCTATTCTCACTAGTCTATACTTCATTCCTATACAAACTTCTATGAATTTTCTTTATCTTGACAAGCAAATGCTTGTGTGAAAGAGCTTCAGAACCTAAAATCACCAAAGTTTACTGTGGCCACAGAGACTCATATCCCCAAAAGGTCAGTGATATACGGCCACCATCTAGGCATCCTTGTAGGACTTTAGATTCATAAAATTGACTCTGATACTATTTGATAAAATAACCTCATGCCAACATGAAATGTTTGCTAGAGTGAAAGAAGGAAGTCAATAGAAGAGCTAGGCAGCAAACAAAACCAGTACACAGAGTCATTATGACAGCCTGTTTATTGTTAATGCTACATGATTCTTAGCATCTCAGACTTCTCTAATGGCAATCAGATAATGTAAAATGACGAATGATATAGTACCCATGGGAAAAGGCACAAAGACAATATAATATACGATAATGACACATAGTTAGCCATTTAAGGCCAGAGCATGAGAAAATGTTTAGAAGCTCACCCCTCCTTAGCAAGTTGATGAAGGAGTAAGCCATTTCCGGTACCAAGGTCAAGCACATTCCAGTTAGACAAATACTTGTCACCCTGATCATTCACCTCCGTATTGACATCGTTTTCAGAAACAGACATGTTCCGTTGAGAAATTTCAATGCACAAGTCTTTTGTCCAAGAAGTAACAATTTCCATGACATCATCCCCAAACCTATGGTTGTGAAGACGAAATGTATCAAGAAATAGAAGGATTTTCTCTCTCAAGTTAACCTGATCAGAGATCTATGGGGAGATCTGAAAGTTGAATCCTTTGGTGAAAAAACTACCATCTAAAATAGCATAGAACATGGAATAAATGAAAGGAAGGGTTACCAAACTTCGCCGGAATGACCATGCTCCCTGAAATTAGTGAGCTCATCGGAATACGCAGCGTCCCAATAGCTTTGGAGACCAAGCATTGACTGTCCTCCATCAGCATCTGGCTCTTCCTTATCAGAACTGTTCACAGCATTTTCAATCATCAATACTCAAATAGATTCAAGTTAACTAAAAGTCTACAAATAATGGAAGCAAACACTAAGATCTGGCAAAAACAATTCGACATAGTTCACTGTTCCCTAAAATTTCCGTAAATGCCTGACCAAAAATCCCCTCTAATCCGTAGCTTTCTGCGATTTTCCGAGAAGAAAGCAGAATCGGTGAGAAAGCAAAAAACCTATAATCTGAAGAGACACGGAAGTTAGCGGAAGAGAGAGCCTCGGCGGCATCGGCGTGGCGCTGATCGTCGTCGAGGGTGCTTCCATACTCGCTCTTGATCGACCACGAATCCGCAGCAACAGATCGATCGTCGTCGGAAGCCAAACTTTCCGCCGCCGCAGCTCTGGCCTGTTGCTGAGGAGTACTCTCTGGTTCTTCCGGTAGCAATCTGATTCCCGCCATCAGATTCAACGCAAGGAAAGGGGGAAAAGTAGGCTTGCTTTTTTGACGCAGTCCGATAAAAAAAATAAAGAGACGATGAAATTGAAACCCCTACTTTGATAATCCTCCTCACATCACATGTATACAATGTTTTTAAAACCCGACCGGCAACCGAACCGAAGAAATATTTGGATCGTAGG